CAGCTGCTTTTCATCTTCCTCCTCTGTCACTCCTGACCATGTTTCCAACTTGGGGGGGGGGGTTGTAGGGGCAATCTTCTCCTTGCCCCATCCTTTTGATGTAGAAGGATTTATGTTGGGTCCCTGACATGTGGTCACGAAAGTGTCTGCTTAGCCGTCTCAGCCAATGTCCTAGTTAACAGCAACCAGAAAGTTGTCTTCCAGCTGCTAGGAGTAAAGGATTGGGGCAGAATGACAATCCGTGTTCCCTTGGCTCCAGCCAGGGCTGTAAGAATCAGGAAGGAGCCTTCCCTAATGTCCTTGATTGACCAGATGGAAGGAGCAGCTTTGGGTTTATTTGTAAGACAGGACCCTTTGATTCAGATTGTGATCTGCAATGTGTGACCAGGGCAGGAGAAGTGGGTCAGCTTCATAGACTCAGTGCTTAGGGGTCTGAGTTAGCCCAGAAGTACAAGGACACCCTGAGCTGATCAAAGACTTAGCCCCTCATCCGCTCAACAGCAAGGGGTTTCCCAGAGGGGCCAAGAATGCATGGTCAGCACACAGGGCCCCATGAAAGGCCAGCAGCACAGGATGCCCAGAGTTGATCTCAGACTCAGCCTCCTGCCCAGGATTGCAGACTCAGCCTTTAGAGGCACCACTGAGGCCAGCAACACCAGGATGCCCAAAGCATATTATCAGAAGCATGACTAAACAGAGAGAGAGAAGGAGAGAGAGAGAGCAAGAGAGAGAGAGAGAGAGAGAGAGAGAGAGAACTTTTAGGAGGCCAAGGATGTCTAAGACAGGAACCAGGAGAGGGGAATAATGCCAAAACTCCAACAAGCAAAGCCTCAAAGAAAAATACAGCTCCGACTCTAATATCAATTAGAATTCCTAAAAGAAAGCATATAAGAATTAAAATAATGTTATAAATTAAAGGAGTGGGAGAAGGAAGAATAGGGAAATGTCAGAGCTATGGAGACTTGGAAAGATAACTTACAGCTTAGCATAAGAGGTACAAAGCCTAATCCAAGTAATTTGTTGTGCTGTTGTTCAGTCGTTTCAGTTGTATACAACTCTTCATGACCCCATTTGGGGTTTTCTTGGCAAAGATATTAGAGTGGTTTATCAGAAACTGAGGCAAACAAAGTGAAGTGACTTGCCCAGGGTCACACAGCTAAGAAGTGTCTGAGGCCAGATTTAAACTCAGGGAGATGAACCTTTCTAACTTCGGGCCTGGCGCTCTGTGCACTGTGGTGCCATCTAGCCATGTGAGTAATAGACTCTCTGAAAATTAGAACAGATGAAACAAGCTGATGACTTCAGGAGACAGTAAGAAATATTCAAATAAAGTCAAAAGTTAGAGAATAATAGAAGAAAATGTAATATATTTCATATTTTTTTGAACTGGCATGGAAAACAGATCAAGATGAAAGAATTTAAGAATCACTAAGTGATCTGGGGCATCTAGGTGACCCAGTGGATAGAATGCCAGGCTTGGAGTGAGGAAGACCTAAATTCAAATCTGACCTCAGATATTTACTATCTCACATAATTGGAGGGTGAAAGTAGAAGTCCCTACAAAGGAGGAAGGAGCAGGGAGACCTAATATTGAACTGAGAGAGTACAAAGGAAGCAGAACCAGAACAATTTATACCAAACACAACATTGTAAAAATGAACAATTTGGAAAGACTTAAGGACCCTGATCAATGCAATGATCAAGCATGATTCTGGCAGACCAATGATTTAAAATGCCACCCACATGCTAACAGAGACTAAATATGCAGAGCGAGATGTTCCATTTTGGGCAGGGCCAATGGGAACATTTGTTTTGCTGGACAATGAATATTTGTCATGGGGACTTTGTTTTCCTTTTGCTCTTTAAGTGTATGGGGTGGGGAAATGGGAGGGACAAAAGATAGATACTTTTCTATTGGAAATTTTACATTCAGTTTAAAAAAAAACCTATGAACTTTTTGAGTACTGAGACTGTCTTTGACTTGGTCATTGTCTTCCCCCCAGTCCTCAGCACAGTGCTTGGCACATGGCCAATGCTTAATAAGGAATTTTCCATTTACTTTCATTCCTCTTATGTACATTGAGGATGAGCAGTCATGCCCAACAAGAGCATCCATGGCCATCTTCTAGTCAAAAGTTGTGCCATCCTTTAGGGTCTCTGTGCTTCTGTTTTCATTCTATAGAATCACTTTTCAAGCGTATGAGTACTTTACCAAGTTAGAAATTGCCCCCAATAGTCCAGGTGCTGGGTAATAACCATTAAACAACTCAGCTGAATCGAGCAAAATGGTGTCTGGGTTTTGTGGCACTCAGTCTTCCAGGCTTTCCATGGACCAGGGCCTATAGCTTCAACCTAGTTGGGGTGTGGCAGGTGTGGCCACAGCCTTCACCCTCAGGTTTGATTTGGCTATGAAGAAACGAGCTCTAAGTGTCAGGTTACAGATGAGCTTCTGCAAAGGGAGTCAGATGTTTTTAAACAGAGATAATCCCAGCCGACATTCCAACAGCATTCTAAGTTGGGCAAATGGCTGTCTGTACCTTATCTCATTTGGTTCTGACAACAAGCCTATGAAATAGATACTACAAGTATTTTCTCCATTTTATAGATGAGGAAACTGAGGCACAAAGAGGTTAAGGAAAGTTTCCCCTTGGCCATAGAGCTAAGAGTTATCAGTCAAATCTTCCCCAAGTCTTTCCTGCACCTAAGTCCAGCTCTCTGTCCTCCATACCATGCTGCCTCTCAGTATAAAATACCGTGCCACAGCTAAGCTTCTCCCCAAATCGTCTTGGCCCAGCCTTGCTCACTTCTTCAGTCATGATGCTAACTAATAATGAGATGTCATAATGTCATTTCATCTGTCTAGGGGACACCAGGATGGGGGGACAGGACCCCATCAAGTCCAGTTTAGTCTTGACAGGCTCTGAGGGGTGCTCATGTCCCTTCAAACCATCTCTAGAATTATGGAGAACTACACACGGCCAGCTAGCTGTGCCTCTTTATGTTCAGGGAGATGATGGAAATACCAGCCTGACAGTACTTGGGACAAAAATAGATTCTTCCTCCTAACAAATTCCTGCAGAAAGGCTTCCTGAGGTCTAATTACCCCCAATCTTTCACTGATGCAACACAGCATCATTTTCAATACAATGAAATGAGAATAATTAACAGCATTGAAGTGCCTTACCCCAGAAAAGAGCCTTGAAATGCAGCTTGGTGAAAAGGATGGAGAGGTGACCTTACAGCCAGGAAGGGCTGGGGTCAAGTCCCCCCTGACCCATCCGCATTATGGCACCCTGGGCAGATGCCTTCATTTCTCTGCCCCAGGCAGTCTCTGATACTCCAAGTGAAGAGAATGCATCCACCTTCATTGCGCTTGCTAGAGGGAGTTTCTCACTGGGAGCTCTTTAGACTGATGAAATCACAGCTCCAGTTCCTTTTTTTAAAAGAGCCTTATTTTCTCTGAGTTTCACTGTCCAGGCAACGGTAGAAAACTTGCATGTTGGTCCAATATCTTAGCATGATGATTATTTATCACTAACAACAACAAAAATAAGAGTTTATACAAGCGCTTTAAGGTTTTCAGGGCCTTTACACGTGTTACCTCATCGGATCCTCACAACAACCCTGGGAAATAGGTAGGTGCTATTATTATCCCCATTTTACAGGTAGGATACTGAGGCAGGCAGAGGTTACGTGATTTGCTCGGGGTCATATATCTGGCAAATGTCTAAGGCAGGATTCAAACTCATGTCTTCCTGACTCCAAGTCAGGATGCTCAATTCAGCTGCCTAAGTAAAGATTGTGTCAAAGCCACCTACCTGAGCAGAGACCTCAAGAAGAAGACAGATGACAGGAGCATTTGACATTTGAAAGGCGTGCTGGAGAGAAATCACGTCCACGCGGAAGTGATTAATTTTCAATGAAACAACCAAGATGCTTTACCCAGAACTATTCTCAATGTTCTCGGGAGCTTATTAAGCCTTTCTCTGAGCCATAATTAGCCCCAATTTGTAGACACGGATGCTCAAGGAGGAAGTGGGTTTGGCCAAGAAAGAACAACCACAAACCCCAAGAAGCAATTCCCATCCCAAACTCTAACAGGAAAACCAAGGAAATCATTGGAGATGATTCATTGTAGGTGAAGAAGCAGATAAGCAAGCATCTGTGTGTTTTTCTTTGCCTTTTGTCTGCAGCACTCCCTGGGACCCCGGGCAGTCATTCTGGGCTGTTTAACCATTGGTTCAGTGGACACAACGGTTCTGGGCCCCCACCCATGCACAAGCTCTGTTCCTTGACCACAGAGGACAACCCTCCTCTCCCCCATGGCCCATAGAGGTCTGGTCTGAAGCTTCAGACTGCCAGCACTGCTACGGTCATCAGAGTTGTTCAAACCCAGGGAAGTGATGACCTCATTTCAATGTGGCTGCTGAGCAGGGCAATGTTTGTCTGTTATAGAGAGAGCTCTGCTCTGCTGTGCCCGATGTAACCTGGCTCCAAGAATTCGCAGTGTCGCATACGCTGTCTGGACAAACAGGGAGAATCAGAAAACCTGCTCACCAAAACCCTGAGCTGAAGCTGTTTACTCTCCCACCAGCCCCAGGAAGGTCTGGACTTGCTCTGTTTTAACTTGTTCCAAGTCTACTGGAGACATCAAGGGCTTCTGCTACCTCGGGGGATGTGCATTCTTGTCTAGACTCCCTGAATGGGGCGGAGAGGGTCATGAAATATTCATTGGTAATAATGAGAGGTCCTTCTCTCAGCAGTAGTACCAACATTATGTCCCTTTAGTGATGTTTCAGAGGACACAGAAATAGAGGAAATGGATAGAAGGAGGTCACAAGAAATCCATTCTAACAGGACCATCTTGTGGGCTTTTCTATGGCAGAGAAAAAAATCATTCAGGACATCTCGGCTGGTTAAAAAGAAGAGGGATCCCCAGAATAGACTCTTATTACCACTGGAGCCCACTGTCTCCACTCCAAGGCCGCTAGCTGGCTTACCTTCCCAAAGCTCCCCTTGCCGATTGCTCGGAGGATCTGGAAGTGGTCAAAGTTCACTAAAAAACAAAACAAAGGCATTTAGTCAGATTTCAAGAGTCTTTCCAAATATTGACTATCTTCTTTCTAAAGAGTCAGAATACTTCAACCAGCCTTTTGTCTCCCCATCAACAACTTATGCCCCAGAGCACTTTTGCTGACAAAGGGCTGCTCAAAGATGTTCTATCTGAATGCCTGAGTCCAGCCAAAACTCGGACAGTCTGTTTTCATCTAGGCAGAAGACTGACTCAAGACTAAATTACAAGACTTCCAGCCAAGTTAGGGGCCTGAATGGAGGCAGATCACCCAGCTTCCAAATACCTACTCCAGCAAAAACCTTCAAATAACACCAGGTTGAATAATGATCAAGAAATCCAATAAGAAACCGTAGTAAGTGGATTCTTACATCTCCAGAACTATACAAAATGATGACCAGAAGCCCACCAGCAAAAGGAAAGGGGGCCACCAACAATGCCAATGCAGGGTAACCTCTCAACAAAGCCAGAGACTGGCTGGAGACACATGTAACCTCTAAGACTCCAGACTAAATCAGTAAGAGCAGAGGCTTCCTCTGAGGAAACTCTAGGGTGTTTAGGAACCCAAAGGGCAGGCCCTGGAAGCTATCAGGAATGGCCTCAACAAGCATGGGCATGGATACCCCAGAGATGCCAGAGAAGATCTGGAAGACCCAAAGGGCTCAGACTCTAAGATCCAGGGATTCCTAACCTCATTAGGTGGAGGTCCACACAGGAATTCAGATAAGCCAAGGTGAAACCAAATAGAATTCTCCTTCCCATCCAAAAGTACAGCAGCCTGACCCTGGCAAAGCCCCAGTTTAGGCATTAAGGCTGCAGCAATGAGCAAATTGGGGAAGACATCAACCAGTACAAAAAACAAATACTTTAAATATAGAGATGCTCTAAAATCCAAACTAAAAGTAGCTTAATAATAAATATTATTATAAAATTATTATACTGTTATATAGCATTATAATAGTTTAATAATAAATAAATTAAGAGGATTTTCCACAAGGGCTACATGAACACCTAGAAGAAATGAACACCAGAAATAATAAATTAAATAAAAGGTACAGGGAAAGAATTAAGAGGAGAAAATTAGCTTAGAAAGTGGTAAACCTTACCCAAGTAACAGACTCCCTGAGAATTAGACTAGACCAAAGGTAAATCAATGACTCCATAAGACAAAAACAGATCTTAGAATAAAATCAAAGGACTGAAAAAATGGGAAAAAAATATAATACACGTGCCATAAAGGAAACTATGACTCTGGAAAATAAGTCAAGGAGAGATCATTTAAGAATGATTAGATTCCCTGAAAAATATGATTAAAAAATCTAGACACCGTATTTCAAAAAACCAAAAATGAACACTGCCCAGATTTATTAGAACCAGATAGCAGTCAAGATAAAAAGAATCTACCAATCACATACTGAAAGACACCCCAAATGGGGTAGCTAGGTGGTACCACAGTATGAGACTTGGAGTCAAGAAGATCTAAATTCTAATCCTGCCTCAGGCAGTGACTCACTATGTGACCAAGCTCAGACTCTGACTAGCAAGTCACTGAATTTCAGCCCCAGTTCACCCATCTGCAAAATGGTGATAAGAACAAAACCTACCTCACAGGGTTATATAAAGATCAAATGGAATGATACATACAAAGCACTTTGTAAACCTTAAAGTAATACATAAATGCTACCTGCTGTTATTGTTATCATTATTATTACCAACAACAATAATAAAAGGTCTTAGGAATGTTATAGCAAAAATTCTCAACGTCCACATCAACGAAAAACTATTACATACTTCCAGAAAGGAGTTCAAGTACTAAGGAAATAAAGTCAAAGTCACTCAAGACACAGCTGCTTCTACTATAAAGAACAGAGGAGCTTGGAAAGACGATATTACAAAAGGCAAAAGATATGGGCTTAGAACCAAAAATAATCTCATTTGCAAATCTGACAATTTTATTTGTGAACCCTCTGTTGTTGTTCAGTCATTTTTCAGTGGTGCCTGACTCTTCATGACTTCATTTGGAATTTTCTTGGCAAAGGTACTGGAGTGGTTTGCCATTTCCTTCTCCAGTTCATTTTACAGGTGAGGAAACTGATGCAAACAGAGTTAAGTGATTTACCCATGGTCACATAGCTAGTAAGTGTCAGGGACCAGATTTGAACTCATGAGGATGTTTTCCTAACTTCAGGCCCAGTACTCTATCCACTGCACCACCAACTGCTCCCAAATATAACTCTGGATGGGAGAAATGGATTTTTAGTGGAATAGTGAACTTTGGTGGAATAGAGGACTTTCAAGCTTTTCTGATGAAAAGACCATAGCTGAGTTGGAACTTTGAAATGAAATAGTTATGAGAAAAAGGAGGGCTATTCAAACTTTTTTTTTAATGCACAGAAGAGAACAAAAAGAAGTTTGAAAGGAAATACAAACCAGCAGAACAGTTTTGAAAGACATGTGTGGAACTTATTATAGACTTTGAAAATAAAAAGCAAGTGGTATGAAATGAAGACCCATGGTCTCCTATGAAATCTTCTGTTTCACGTTCTGCTACATATATAGGTGTGCATGTGTGTGTGTGTGTGTGTGTGTGTGTGTGTGTGTGTGTGTCTGTATGTGTGTAAGGTCAGAAAAAGAATACAAAATTTTTTAAAAGATGGCAGGTGTTCACAGCAAGGAGAACTGTTTGCAAATTCATAAGCTACACAGTTTCTAGATCTCTTCAGAAAGATAATTGGATAATTGTTTATCAACTCTATCATTCACACTTCATGTTTTCTTATAGGGGCCAATGTCTGAAAATACTTACCCTCACTCCAAGATATATAGTGGTAAAAATTCAAACACACGTTCACTAATTGATGAGCATTAATAAATAATTGAGTTTGAATGTCAAAGGCCTCAGCTTCCTCAACAACATACAGGGAGTCCTTAACCTGGACTCTGTATACTTTTTTGTATATTCATATACACCTGCACTAGATAGATAGATAGATAGATAGATAGATAGATAGATAGACAGACAGACAAACAGAAAGACAGACAGATAGATAGATAGATAGATAGATAGATAGATAGATAGATAGATAGATAGATAGATAGTTAGATAGATAGATAGATAGATAGATAGATAGATAGATAGATAGATAGATAGATAGAT